TTCCTCTTCCTCTTCCTCTTCCTCTTCTTCTTCTTCTTCTTCTTCTTCTTCTTCTTCTTCTTCTTCTTCTTCTTCTTCTTCTTCTTCTTTTTTGTTACTACCTTTATTTTGGCATAATAGTCTCAGAAATTTTTGAACCTTGATTTTAATCCACCTTCAACAGGCTCCTTAGCTTGATTCTCAAGAATCAATATGGCCCCATGTTGTCAAACAACCACATTCTTCCTGATTTCCTTACATGACTCAGATCTAGCCAAAGTGGACCACTTGTTCTGTTTCTGACTGTGTTCTGCCCTTTTGTCTTTGCTCATCTATTCCCCCTGAGAAGAAACATTTTGTTTTTATTCATTTTTTTTAACATTCTGTCTAGCCTTTAATACCCACCCACATCAAGGATACTCTCCCACACAAAGTATTATACTTTTTACTTTTTTCAGTATCATATAATACTTAATATTTATGGACAGAATGTCTCATTTTACAATAAGTTTTATTCTTACTCTACTCTTACCATCATACTGAAAGCCCCTTAAGGGCACAGCCTTGTTGTACTCATCTCTAAATCTCCCCAGTAGGCATCCAAAAGAGATATTTATTAACTTATTGTGAGACCTTATCCTAAAACTGTGTGTCATTAAAGCAATGCTGTTATATCATGAACTAATAATCTGAGGAAATGGTCACATTAATATCCAGGTCCTCTGGGAGCAGTATGGCCAACATTATTATATAAGAGACATAGGAAAGGTACAGAAAGGTTAAGTGATTGCCAGTGTCACAGAGTGTGGGACCCAGGATCATCAGATTCCCAATCTGTAAGCTTATTCAAACTTCTCTTATGGACTCTTCCCTCCTCTGGAGAATAAAACTTGTTGTTCATCATTTATTGAACATCACTAAACTGATTGGAATCAGGAAAACAGGATTAAGCGATATATCCCAAAAGAGTAAGTTCAGATTCAGTTGTCTCATCTCAAAATGAAACACCAGGCATTTGCCTCTTTCTGCTTCTAAATCTGGTGGCTAAGGTGCAGTTCAAGTGGGGTCTGCCTCTATTACACCCACTCACTCAGCTGCCTACAGACTGTACAGTTCACTTGAACTGACAGAGCCCTTGCTAATTGCCCCTTATTGGCCTGTTACAAGATGCAGCATGGGAAGGGAGACAAAGCCTCCCTATTCACATTCTCAGTGGGCAGCAGGGGGCTTAGCAAAAATAGAGAAACTAGCATCTAGGCTATTCATATTTGAAAAGTCAGGACAAGATCTACCATTCAGAGCCTCACATTAAAATCGCAGTATTGCATCCTGGGAGACGCTGTCTGTTTCTTATTTGATCTGACAGAAATTTAGAGGTTCATATATCAAGTCTAATAAATGAATACTACTTATAGCTACATACCTTTTTCTACCTCCAAAGTGATACCAATTCTGCATTTTAATTTCATTATTATCTTTTCCCAGTTGGAGGTAGGGGTAAGGAGAAGGAAAGAGAAGGGGCAGTGCTTTTCATGAAAACATCATTCTTCTGTTTTTTATTTTAAGAAAGCAGAAGAGAGGCTTTAAGTACAGCCTGATAACTGAACTTTCTGTTTAGAATTTCTTCCTCTCCATTGGGCCTTAGCTAGGTTTCAATAATTATTGCTCAGGCACATAGTCTTGGAGCTTTGCTATTTCTCAGACTTGTACACAGTTCTAGGAAGGGTTGTTGCCAAAGCCATCATGTGATTTATTGACCCTCCACTGGGACAAGGGGGAACAGATATAACTTTGTGATTTTATTATAAGGAGGCTGGGTTAATATTTCTAGGTGAAACAAGCTACTATACCAAGTTCAAACATCTGAAGAGGGAGGTTAAGAAACCCTGAGTGTGGGGTGTAAGGATTATTCTGTCCTGGGGCTGTGCAGACGTCGTCTGAGGCAGGGAGCAGGAGAAGAAAGGACACATTGTGACCCATTTCCAACACCTCCTGTGTGTAGAGGCGGAAGTTCCTTGCCTGCAGAGGGACACGCGCGGAGGAAAAATAGGAGAGTTACAACATGGCACTTACATAAACAACACCAAACTGGCATAAAACATCTAACAAAATTACACGACTTCAAGCTTGGAATTTTTATACAACATAAATATTAGGGTTCAGCCCATTTAATAATGCTACATAAAATCAAGATTTAAGGCAGTAATGTTCCACATAAACTCTGAAAACAACATTTATGCTTCTTATAAAAGCAGAAAATGATTGCATTCTGTGGGCTTTTCAAAATGATGAATATAATTCCATGAAGCAACAAAAATGGATTGAATTAAAAATCCACTAGTTTCAGTTTAAGTTGTTTAAGGGGGAAAAATGTAGTTTCTGGCCAAGGACTGAGAAAATTTTATAAGTATCAAAAAAAATTGTATGCACTATTAGGCAGTGAGGCAGCCTTCTCCCAATGTGTATGTAGCCCAAGAGTCACCAATGAAATCTGAGCTGCCTCAAACCTGCTAAGCCCAAGCAACCCTTTAATAGTATCTACTGTCACAAGTAGAGCTGGTATTTTTTTTTCTTGAGCATATGGCCACCCCTGGAATATTCATGCTTCCCTAGTATCTTTATGGCATCGCTTGCAGTTTAGTCTTCACCACTGTTGACTGGTTTGGACTGGCTGTGCAGTACTGCCTTAAAATCAGAGTAGTATAATAGAAAGACATTCTTGGAATCTGTAATTCATCCCCTGCGTCCATGGGTTAGAGGCCAATTCATAGTTCTTTCTCATTAAAAGAGAACCAGCCACTCTGTATTTGTCTTCCTAAGGTAGGCGGAAACGTGTGTGTGTGTGTGTGTGTGTGTGTGTGTGTGTGATGCTTTGAGGAAAAGGGCAGTAATGATGTATATAGGCAAAAAATGAAAACAAAAAATCCAACTGCTACATTGCATTAAATTGCTAGACAAAGCCTAGAAAAGTTTTACTAGTCTCTTCTGTGCCAGTAGTTTTTCTTCTAGTTGCTTATTTGTGCAGGTTTGATTTGTGCATTTTGATTTAGGTGAGGCGTTTGATAGTAAATTTTCTGTGGAAAGAGAGCATGTCGTAGTTTAACTGTTATAGATAACACTTATGTTACACTCTTTTCAGATAAATCATTTGTCTTTGTAATTGTACTGTATTTGTTGATACATGGATATATGCATGCATTCATGTTGGTTTATGCTACCCTGTGAACCTTGATGTCTTTCAAGGCAGACTAGAGGATTTTTTCTTTTCTTGACCAGAGCACAGTAAAATGGGGTCCAGAAAAATTGCAAGAGACTGACACAGAGGAAATGGAGAAAAAGAGTACAAGTTCAGTTTGTCTACTTGTATGCATTAAAATCACAGTAAGCATGTACAGGAGAAATGGTGTTTAAATAAATCAAAATAAGCATATGCATGTATATACATGCCTCTTGAGTAAGCTTTATGCTGCAGTGCAGTTTCTAGGAGCTATAAAAAGAAGATAAAAATGGCAAAATCTAGTACCTGGTGTAGAGGTATATTGATCTGCTTAAGGAGAGCTTTCACTGCCATCTGGAGCTCATAGAAGAACAATTGCACAGGGCAGTCAGAAGTATGATCCACACTTTCCATAGATTCGGAGCCAGAAAGCTTTTGGATCCATTCCCACTCCTCTCTGTATGTTGAGTCAAATTAAAATTAGAAATATAACAAAAGTTCAGAATACAGCTAAGAACTTTCTTAGGATATATGTCCAGAACCCAGATAAACCAATTGTTGGTGCTTTAAAATTCAGTGTAATTCATGAAATTTGAACTTTTTGCTACCCAGATGGAATTTAAAATGAGGTCTTTCTAAATTAAACTTATTTACCTATCAGACCACATGTCTCAAAACAACAATATTAATTTGTATGAATTAGTTTTTTAGATTGAAGCTTTCAAACAGTTTGTAATAATTTCTTGACTGTCCTCATTTTGCTTTCCCTAGGATCCTCAGTAAGTTCTAAGATCCTATATTTTACCGCAGGGGCATCTGCTGGTTAATTCTGCATTTGGGTAACCACGGGACTCTGCTCCAACTCAGGCAACAAACCACATGGCACATTTCAACCCTGGCCTGTTGTAATCATGGAGACTATTTTGGTTTCTTTCCCCTTCCAAAAACTTGAGGAGAATCACAAACAAGAACAGCAGACAATTCCAATAAAAGGAACCAGGGGACACACATCACCACTTCCCTCCTCACAGAGCAGTCATCTGTGTCTTCTTTCTGCGTGCTCTGTCGCCCTTCCTAATGAACTTTTCCAAATGTCATGCAGAAAGGACGGGGAAAGAATGGTAGTGGGAGGAAAACACATCTGGTTCCCCAAAGGCTTGCTCTTGAGAAGGAGCTTGAAAGGATCAAGGTAAATGCCTTTTGGGCAACATTATTTCCACAGGTATTTTAGCACAAGTCTCTGAACACACTCAGTTGGCCCCATTTTTCCTTCAACTCTGCAGGGAGTAGCAGTGTACTGTAGGCTAGAAAGGAGAGGCAAGTCTTCCTCTTCAGAGATGGAAAGAGACACTGGCCTATGTTCTCACCCTATGGAAATCCTCTGAGAGTATCAAAGGTTTTTGCCAGTCTGGGCTTCAGGCATGTGTTAGAAAACCAAGTTGATTGTGGCATGGATTTTTCATAAAACCAAAACAATGGTAATAAAAATTCTTTAGATTACAGGAAAGTTTCTGTTTTTAAGATATGTTTGAATTCAAGTCTCATACATGATAGAAAATTTATCCTATGTCCCAACAAAAGAAAAAATCAAAATGCTGCAATCAGGACATATTTGGGCTTCATAAATAATTGCAATTTTTCCAAGAAAAACTACCTTTTCTTTCCCATCACTGATGCTGAACCAAATGAAATTTTATGATTAGCATACCTATATGCAAAACCTAAAGGACCATGTTGTTAAAACTGTGTCTGTAATAAAGTCAGAAAATAAATTACTAGGAAGAATACCTTGAAGTATTTAACACCAACTTGTCAGTTTAGGTATGAAGATGGAGGGATGCACTTGGCAGAGTGGAGGCTACTGGAATCTTTGGTAAAACTGAACCTTGGATCCTTGGCCAAGGAAAATTATTTGGCATAACTACTGAGAGACAGACTCTAGAAATGAATGAAAAGCCATTGCGGAGTCAACCCACAAATGAGCCAGGTAACCTTTTGGGGAGAACTCAGATGTTGATTGTCAAAGTGACCACCAGATGGCAGACTTAAAGCCCAGGTGTATTTCTATAAGTAAGAGGAGCAGAATTATGGCGGTCAGCGAGTTTTTCGAAGAGACCATCTCCATCACTGTCATCTCCTCCATTGTCATCAGGTAATATTTATATAGTAAGCTTTGTGGGACATTATTGTTATTATAGCTTTGCCATTCTAGGGACTAGGTTTTAAATGACTAAATTGGAGATTTGTTTGCTTAAGCAAGACCATAGGGTATGACTAGAATTTTTGAGTTTAGCTTATACTCTGTGAAGCCTGAAGAAATCTGGAGATTTTTCTTTTATTATATATTTCTTTTTTGGTCCATGTTGAGCACAATTCAATTCATTATAGAAATCTTTCAGAGGCTTGCTATTAGGGTTAGTTGTAAAGTTGAGCCAGATTGCCATGATTGGGCAATGTTCCCAAAACTAACAGGGTAATTCACCAAATGTCAAAGCGTAGAGCAACTTCCCAGAAGCTCAGACCTTGTTACTTCTTTTCTTCCATAATTGTAAGAGGTGCAGGAAACATGAAATCTTTGGGCCATGGGATGAACAATAAGGAGAATGAAGGTACTGGAAGGAGAGGTCCTTTAAAATCAGAATCAATAGCTCTACCAGACTCCAGGCCTACAGGTAATACTAAAAAGACAGCAAAAAGAATGTGACTGTTTCAAATTGTGAAGAAAAGATATTGGAAAAAGTAACTAGAACCACTGATGCACATTAAACAGTTGAACATTGGGGGTGGAGAAAGGGAAGATTGGCTTACTCCTCCCACCTGGTAACAATGACAGTTCTCCTTGTCCCAGTGGACCACTACTTCCATGTGCAGTGGAACATCTTACCTTAGAAACCACACAGCAAATCTTTGGGCATGGCACATCACATCATACCCTTGAGCCATACCCAGCTCATTGCAAAGAAAGTCTCCATTCCTGACCACTTACTTGGAAATGTTATTGTTTTCACGGATTTTCACATGGCAGAGAATGTTGGGCAACTTTTGTGTCACAAGAACTTTGATTTGGTCCACGGAGCTACATAACTTTAGGTAACCTAGATACAATCCGGGAGAGAGACGCTGGTGACTCCTTCTGTGGTAGGACAGAATATCCTGCAGAATGAAACAAAAAAGAAAAAAAAGTACCTAGAAAGGTAGTCTTGAGACTTCTTCCTTTCTAACGTGGGCTCATTCTGAGTGAAAGGAGCTGTGAGTAGCTCAGTGGGAAGCCTCAGGCAGCCCTATGGGTGCTGGGCAAGGCCTGGCATTGTAGCTAGTTATCCCTTCAGCAGAAGTCTCCTTCAAGTCAGGCCATCAGTCTTTAATATATGCTGCAAACTTATTCTCAGATTTTTGTGCCAAGAGTAGATGTATGGGTTGAGATTGGGAATACAGTGGTGCTGATGGAAGCAGATAAGAAAGGTAGAATTCTTCATTTCTTTCCCTGGAGGGCTTACTTCTTAGCTGGTAGGAGACATACGTTTGCTAGTGTAAAACCTAACAAAGCCCTTCCAGCAAATGATACAATTCAGGATAATTAAAATGGAAAGTGCATTTAAAACAATCAAAATTCTATGGTAAAAAGGTTGATTGATTATCTTAAAAAAGTAAGCTGTAGAGTCTCATATTATTAACATACCAAATCTGAGAATAAAGAGAATAAAAAAGAAGCATTGATTTTTTGGCATATTTTTTAGATTAAATTATATGATACTCAAAGCAATATTCTTTCTATGTGATTTTCACAGTAACGACAATAACTTGCAAAAGTATCTGAAGCTCTGTCTTGTTTCCCTGAGATATTAAAAAATTTAATATTCAAATATTCTAATGAATGTATTGTTCATTGTTCTTTTCAGTCATTGATTGGTCTACTGCTTCTTGATTCTCAGTTGTTAATCGCTGTGCATGTGAATTAGTTGGGTTTGCACCTCATTTTCATCAACTTCACAAAATTCTGTATATTTACACTAGTGGGAAGCCTGCCTTGTAATGGATTGGCTTTGAAATGGCATTGCTTTGTCACATGAAATATTCCATGTTCTGTGGAGGCTGAAGTTGTTGATAAAGCAGAAGTGCTACCCATGGTAAACACAAGAAGATGCTTGCTTGCATCTCGTTTTCCATGTGATCAGTTCTCCGGTGAGCTGTTCAGGTTATGACTCTTGTCTCCCTACACAAGCGCAGGGTCTCAGACATTGAATCATTAGAAAACACAGAGTTTCTTTCTCCCCACCCCCTATTAAGAAGTAAGACTTTCTAAACTTTGAGTAGAAGAGCATGGGAAACAAAGTTAGCAGTGAGGACTCAGGTCACCCATTATTAGGGAGGGCTTTCTGTAGGCTAGCTTATGTTGGATTTTAGACAGGATAAAATAACTGTGTAAGTTTAAATTTGTCATTACAAACAAGTAAATGAGGTATTGGCTATAATAAACTTGACTTATATATTATAGATATAGTATATACGTATATATATATATATATATATATAAGTTTGTAACCCACAGTTAATATTTTTAAATTAAAATATTTTAAAATTTAAATATATAATTTACATATGTTAAATATTTAAAGATACTAAGAAAAATGAATAGAGTATATATATTTAAAAACAATGAAATAAAAGGAATTACCAACCTTAGGGAAGGCAAGAAGTGCAACAAAACTGAAAATTTAAACCTGTATACAATTCTATACAGAAAATTATAAGCCTCTTTTGACTGCTGAAGGAGTAAGCCCTCCTTTGGAGAATCAAACACCTGGAGGACCTAACATATATTGTTGTATAGTGTTTCTTTAGGCCTGTCCTTTATCAAACATGGACTCAATTCCTGTGATGTGCTGGACGCTGAGAAATACATGTCTCAGGTAAACACAATATGATTTCTACTCATGTGCTAGCTGAGAAAGATAGACAGTCACAGTATATTGAAATCAGTTTTATATTAGAGACAATGTAGGTATGCAATGGAAGAGTACTTTTGTGTTTTCTTTTTCTATTTTTCTGGGGGGCATCGATTTTGGGAGCAAACCCAGGGCCTTGTGCATACTAATCAGGTGCTCTATCACTGAACTCTGCTCCAAGACCCTGTGTTTTCTTAAACTGGACTGTGAGATTAATGATATAGATTTTTTAAAAAAATCATGTTGTTCCCTTAACATGCAATACTATTATTAGTTTATTTCTTTGTTTATTTGGTACTGGGAATCAAACTCAGGACCTTGTGCTTGCCAGGTTGGTGCTTGTGCTGCTGAGTGACATTTTCAGCCCCTCTATTATTAGTTTATAAGATAAGTACAAAGCATAATGGAAATTTGTCAGGTCAGGCCTCTAAATCATAATATTGGATAGTGGAAGAGGAAGAAATTAAGTAAGAATAGTCACAATTGGAAGGAAGACACAACAATGAATATGTACAGAAAAGCAAACTAAACTTTGTAAAAGATATTTGGCAAACACAATTTTTCTTATGCTCAATTAGGAAGGAATTCTAATATCGGGATGGACAAGGCTGAACTTACTAATATCTTCTATCGTGTCTCTTTAGAATGGATAATGGCTAATGGTAGTTGTTGATTGGAAGAAGTTTAACCAAGATAGTATTTTGGAAAATGAAATAGTCAAAGGGAGACAAATGGTTAATGTGGGAAGGAAAAATTAGAAGTATTCAGATCATCTGAATTTGATGACATATACCCTGGGAACTTGCTGAACAAGCATATGTGGGTATAGACCCCTGGGTCATTATTTTTTAGAAGCCATGGAGAACTGGGAAAGTCCCTAAAGACCAGAAAAGGACAAATATGCCTGTCTTTGGAACAGAAAGGGGGAGAAGCACAGGCTGACCCTAGCAATTAAAGACCTCTAACTTATTGATCTTTGGGAAAAATGAGAAAGAACCAAGTGAAAAGTGTATGGTCAATTTGCAGACACCCAGGAAATACTGAGACATTAAAGAGGAGTTAAGAGTTATGAAGAACAAATTGTATAAACACCTTTAATTTCTAACAGCAGTAAAATAGGATCCAGCCTCTAGGGAGAAGTCTCTGATAATGTTTCACTAGATAACCTAGAAAAAGTAGGATGTTGACCATATTGAACAAGCTGAATTTCTGGAATGAAGATATGTGGGTGATAGAGATGTCATGGGACTAGGAGACGGATTGAGTGATGGCGCTGTAGGGATTGTTCCCAAGGGCCACTCTGTTCAGCTTTCTTATTGACATTTTAGACAAAGAAAATCAAGAATGTGTGTATCAAATTTGTGGGCCTCAAATTTAGTGTGGTTTTGATTTTCTGGAAAATAATAATAAAGCCATGAATGACCCAATGCATTGGAAAAATAAGACTATCATAATTAGGGTTGAAACTTAATAAGAAAATGTGCTTGTAAAGACTCAAACCCAAGAGTACAAATATAGGATGGGTAAGGGTGTAAGAGAAAAACATGTGGGGGTCAGGACTGACCACAAATAGAATGTGAGTCAGGAGCAGACTGTGGTTATAAGAAAAACAAAACACCATTCTAGGATGGAGCAACTCACTGTTCCATTCAGTTTTTAAAAAGACTTATCACTGAGTACCTACTGAGTATTCTTTTGCCTTTCAGTTGTCATTTATTCTCCATTAGGATGCTTTTGTAGCCTTCAAACTGTATGGAAAATGAAGAAGCTGTCTTCCTCATGTAGGCTAAAATTCTTTAGAAAGACCTTCTAAAACCAAGTTGAGTGTTTGAGTTAACCTCTAACCTACATTTCTAGCTTCTACCTCCCATTATAGCCCTTTTATGTCTCCTGTCTCCTGCCATAATGAATTGGCATAAAACATGCTCTTAGCTCCCTTTTGTGATTGTTGGTTGATTCATAAATTCACTCACTCTTAACCATTATTGAACACATATTGTGTGTAGGGGTTATGGTAGGTTATTAATGACACCAAAATGAATAAGACATGATCCTTTCTGCAAGGAACTTAACATTTCAGTGTGTTGGAGAAATGTGTAAGCCATTTTTTCTACCCCAACATAATGAAGACCATGGTAGAGTGTGTCATGTCTATGTGGACCCAGAGGAGGGTGAGATCCATTTCTGCCTTGTGTCTTTACCACAGCCTCAACTGAATTCCTGTTTTACTACCTTTTCTTGCTCTTTCTTCACCTGATAAACTTATCTTCATGACTCAGCCAAATGCCAACTCTTCTGCAATGCCTTCCCTGATTTTTCTGGACAGAATTAATAGCCGCTTTGTGAGTGCTCCCATAGTGCACTGTTTGTACTGCTATCAGGCTCTGGTTTAATTCTGCCTTGTATTACCTTGATTTGTTTACAAGACTGTCTCCTTCCCTTGACTGACTCCTTGAGAACAAGGACCTTGACTTATTCATTTGTTTTTCCTATAGGACCTAGAAGAGTGCCTGGAACCTAGTGGGTGTTGAAAAAAATGTTCATTAAATATAAAATGAAAGGCCCAGAGGTGTGGGCTGTGGGACTGCGTCTCTGTGAGAGAAAAAGCTATGCAGGGATCAGGAAGGGTGTGTTGAGCTTCTTTTCATTGATCTGATAGCCTATAAGCTTGTTAAACAAATAATAAATAGTTACTTTTCCAGGAAATACAAGGCTTTTACTTTGGTGGATGAGGTGTGGAAGCTGCATCGTGACAGAATGGTGGCTAGTGGTTTTTGTGGGATCAAGATTATACAGACTATAAGTAATTTAAATTTTCTGGATTACTTTCTTGCTTTTAAAACTAAGTAGATTTTACTAAACACTCTGGATCTCAAACTTTTTCATTTAAAAGTGGAAATTATTTCAACAAGGGAACTATGTTCTTACATTGTGATAGCTGAATAGAATCTGAATAGGGTCTGCTGTCTGTAGCTGAGGTCATGACTCCAGATTAATGTGGTTTCTGTTGCTTCCACTTAGTTTTTTTTTTTTTAAAAGTTGAACTATAATTTATATAGGCTACAAAATTTACCCTGATGAAGTATGAAATCCAGTGGTGTTTCTTATACTTATATGACCATGCAGCTACTAATTCTGGGGCATTTTCGTCACTTAGAAACCCCATGTTAGCATTTAAAATTTTTTTTCCCATAATTTCATTGAGAG